ATAAAACGGACTGCCTTTCAAATTGATGTATTTGGGGCAAGATGCGGCTGTATTAGATTAATTCATTGTATGATCATAGAAAACAAACAACGGACAAAAGAATGAAAACAAAGCAGCGAAGACATTAAATTTTCTCTAATATCTAGAATCCTCCCACAAGTAACGGGATAGTTGTAAAACGTTTTCATAGACCCGACGCTCGTGACCTAAACTTAAATTCAGTTTTTATCTCCTCCGTTTCCCATTGCCAAATATCACTTAATTTCTCTTTTCCCTTTTCTCCGAGTTTTCAGCAATTTCTTCCCTTCCTAAAACTCGGCATCCTTCCCTTAGCTTTCGAACAAAAATCCTCTCTTATGAATCGTCGTGGTAAAATGATGATAAAGTGCGGACAGAAGAGAATAATGAGAAAAAACTACGTTTTCACACTAGTGGATGGCTGCCGTTAATGATCAACATGCCCGTGCGTCATGGTAGTTCAGTTGGATTTTGCCCTAATAGTTTGTCACTTTCGAATTTTCCAATATTGATAAAATTTACCAAGGAAAAGCAATAGAAATCAGCAGGGAATGAGGAAAATTGGATGGCAGTCTTTGGAGTACAAAACTGCTCAAAAAGTTTATGCTTTGAACTCTCACGATGTGTTTACTAAGTTGAGTGACCTGTGTGAGCCCGTTCTCATTAAAAATTAAAAAATAAATAAATAAATAAATTAATGAGCGAAACAAAAGAAAGAAGAAAGAAAATCGCGATAAGGCTCCAGAGGAATTAGAAACAAAAACGCATCGATGAGCTTCCAAACTGGTAATGGACATGAATTCAGTTGAGAAAATTGATAACAAATCATTAAGATTCTGACCACAAAAGTTAACACAATGGGGAGCCGAAGGTTTCATTTTTTACATCACATAGAGCTCATTAGCAATTGTAAGCTGCACTGTTCTGAGGGTGTGCAGTTTGCAAAGAAAACGACGACTCCTTCCTTCAAATGAAATAAATAATTGTAAGGATGAAAAACAAACACATCGTATTACAGTTGAGTAGAAACTGGTCAAAAGGGGTTTTTTTCCCTTGATTCATAAGCTTAGGAAAGTTCCATTCCATCTGACCTCTTCGTCGTCTTTCAAAACGAAATGAAAATCTCATTACTTCCGTGGGACTTTCCCTTTATTTTCAAAAATACAAAAAAAGCTATCATCAGCATTTCTTGCACCCGTTTTTAGCTGACAAGAGTCACACAAAGACCTCTTCGTCGTGGTACAAAACGAAATAAAAACCTCTATACTTCCGTGGGACTTTCCTTTTATTTTCAAAAGTACAAAAAGCTTTTGTCGACAGTTCTTGCACTGACCATCTTACGCTGACACGAGTCACACAAAGACGACGTTTGTTATTTCACCTTGTCCGGCTTGATCGTTAATAAGTAATATCCTTATAGTTATCGAAAAATGGAATGATTACCGATTTTACTGGCAAAATTCTGAGAATTGAAGTTGTGTGTAATATCTTTAATTCACCACTGGTAAAACTGTCTTCCCTTTTGTAAATGAGATCTGTTTCATAATTTATTATTTTCCTCACGCTTGTGCTAAGCCCGGGTTGACTGTATTCATAAACACTTATGACAGAAAAGAAAAGAAAACCGTGTAGAAACATGCATGGCTTTCCTTTTGAAGTTGCAAGAGCGATGAACTGAAAAAAGCAAATGGTTGTTGAAGAAAGTGTTATGACACTGTTGAGCTTTTAAGGGGAGACAAAAATACAAAATTAAAACGTTTACAGAGGATTAGTTGCCAGTTATTTGGGTTAGCTACTTGTTGAAGGATATCAATTGCATCGGATTAAATGTAACATAACTGGGCAGTTTTCACTTTCTCTATAACAGAGAGAAAATATTGATGTCTGCTAACTGTCGCCTCGAATCGTACTTCCGATTGTGCGAGTAAGACCCAGAAAGAGTCAGTCTGAGAGAAGACAACTGCGATGTTTGTTAAAGAAAGCTGGCAAAGGAAACTTCCAACTCTCGTTGCTAGAACCACTTCTATTTTTAACGATGAGTTACTGAGTGATGTGAAATTTGTCGTTCCAGAATCGCTTGGTGAAAGCAAAAGTAAAAAGGTGATCCCAGCTCACAAGTTTGTTCTTGCCATCAGTAGTCCTGTGTTCTTTGCCATGTTGCATGGTCAAATGGCGCGGGAGACTAAAGACTCTATTGAACTGCCCGACTGTGAGTACGAGAGTCTGTTGGAGCTGTTCCGTTTCTTGTACAGCGACAAAGTCAATTTAAGCGGGAATAATGTGATGCAAGTGTTGTACTTGGCGAATAAATACATGGTGCCTTCACTCGCTGAGAAATGTTCAGAATATCTTTGCGACAACTTGACGGCATGCAACGTGTTTTGTATCCTAACGCATGCTCAGAAATTTTGCAATCAATCTTTAGAAGATCGATGCTGGGAAGTAATTGAGCGGCATACAAACGAAGCTCTTACGTCAGACGAATTTGTTACAGTTGAGCGATCTGTAGTTGAATCTGTTGTGAAGAAGGAAGTGTTAAATGTGAAGGAGGTGGAACTGTTCAAGGCTGTTGATCGCTGGGCTACAAAAGAGTGTGAAAAGAAAAGTCCGATGGCCCTCTCTAATGGAGAACAAAAGAGACAAATTCTTGGAGATGAGATCGTTAAAGCAATACGGTTTCCACTGATGTCAGAGAAGATATTTATGTCTGTTGTGCTTGATTCTCAAATCCTTACTCTTTCTGAGGTTGAACACATGATCAAACATTACAGCGGGGATCTTCAGTTACCTTTGCCCTTTATGGAAAGCGCGAGGGGTAAAACTGATCATTTCCGATGTAACCGATTTCAAAAGTTCAATGCTCCGTGCACTGGAGGCGGTGGTGGGTATTACAGTGTTACAGCCACAACCGCCGGTGGTTCTTGGTCTTACAATGGTGCGACGGCTGACAGCATCAATTTTACGGTCAACAAGCCAATCACCTTACACGGAATTCAGCACTTTGGTTCTAAAGGTGGTGATTACATTGTTTCCACTAATATTAAAGATACCACCCGCGACTCTTGTCTTGGAAAAGAATCAGGAACTTACACCGCAGAAAAGGAAGTTAAAAACAATTATTATGGCTTTGATGTATTGTTTGACCGTCCAATTTCGTTGGAAGCAAACAAACAATACACTTTAGTATCTGCTATCGAGGGTCCTTTGTCATGGTATGGAGCGGAAGGACAAATGTCCGCTGAATCAGGAGGGGTACAATTCAGTTTCAGTGACTCAGACGATGATTCTAATGGCACCTTAGTAACAATCGGCCAGTTTCCAGTCTTCATCTTCAGCTAATTTCTGAGCACACTACTAAGTAGTTTCTCTTTTTATTTTTTTAGTTTCAATGAGTTCTTTCATGTCAAAAGGGTTTGAAGACACGTTTTTTACGGTTAAAAGTAGTCGAAAGAAAGTCATAGGCAATCACCACCTTGAAATTAAAAACTAAATGCATTTCAAACTTATCATGACCGGTCATTTTTCTTAGTTTTAGATTAATGTAACTTTTTTTGCTTTAAAACGCACCAAATGGTCGTTTGATTCTGGTCCGTTTGATTAACGTCATCAGAAAACTATTAATAAAGTTGATTGTAAGCCATGTGAAGTGAGCGATGTCTTGTTGATCGTTCAAATTCGAGTTAGTTCAGTACGCAAGTCGGCGCTTGATGACCACGAGCACTGACTTTCAAGACTAGATAAAGCATTTATTCAAGTTGTTAACGCAGGCAGGCAACCTTCCAGGTTTTTCTCAGGCCTCGTGAAGTTACTCATTAGATATCAGCGGTAATTGTTGTAATTTGCAATGGTCGATCTGAACTTGATTAAAGCGCATGCTCGCTGGTTTACTCTAGTTTGAGCACTCTGGCATGGCTTAGACGATACCACAAAGGTTGGGTCGTTTGGGGTGACCATATTGGTTCTCCTCCATCCTAGCATTAGCACTGCACTGATGAGGCCCAGAAGGCCGAAACAGTACTGTCTGCAGTTAGTTATATCGTGGGAAACTTGTTAATCCTGAATAATGGAATTCTTAACCTTAATTTCCCAAATATGCTTATTGACAGTCATGTAAATAAATTTAGCTTTACTTTGTTTTAATTGTGTTGTCTCGAGTTATTTAGTGAGTTTTTGAAACAGTCGATTCCCCCATCCGCCCCCTCTCCGCCGCCGCTTGAAGTAACCGACTTACTTAATTTTTTTGCCATCTTTACGACGCGTTCCTACCTCTCTATAGACACATTTAATTCGTATCATTAACAAAGCCTTGAGGCTTTACTAAAGGAGAAGCCTCAAGGCTACTTAGAATTATTCAAGGAATATTTAACCCGCATTCAAATGCGGCTGAGACAAAAGGTATCCAGTTAGTCATGTCATTACTAGAGGAGAATCTGTGGAACCTTTTGTAAAGCGACGACATCTTAAAGATATCTTAAAGCACTTGCTCCTCCTATTACACTCATGATTCATTTGTTAGCTTCCGACCGCGATGTATTTTAGAAAGAGAGGTATAATCGTATATCTTGCGATGTGGTCACTTCGGATGTAGATCGCGATGTTTCGAATGCTAGTCTTCTTTAGGCGATGAGGTCGATTAAGAACGCGTCAGCTATAGACTGTTGTGCTCAGCTGTGATTGGATGGAAGTCCACGTATATGATTGGTACAACTTCGGATAATTCCCTCGGCGGACCGCTGCTGCACGGCTCTCCTGCTGTTGTGTCTTTCAATCGTTGGCATCCAGGCTTCTTGGATTTCTATTCCACTATTCCTGTTGAAGTTGTTAGTTGAGTGTGAAGTCTTGTGCGGATTGTTACTAGACGTTTTGCATGTTCGTAAAGACACTTTACAAAACTGCGTTTAACTGATTGCAGATGGTGTGATTCATGCGCTAGGTATTGGTCAGCGTGCGTCGGCTTCCTGCATGTATACGCCGGTGGTTAGGCGTCCATCAGGTTCTCTTGAAACTGCAGTTTCGAGGAAGGTTAGTTTGTTGTTGCTTTCTGTCTCTATGGTGAATCGAATGGAAGGTTGTTAGTAGTTTTGATGCTGTAGGAAGCTTTCTACGCTCTCGTGGGCAGAGATGGCGAAGGTTTTGTAGCGTTTCCAGAGCCTAGGTTTGTGGGGTAATAATGTCATTGATAATTCTCTGTTGGCTAAAGTAGCGGACATATATCTCATGCGAAGTTGTTCACGCGTGATACAGTAGGTCTCAGAGGTACATCAGCTGTATGTATCTTTGGTAAACCGTAGATTCTAGGTTGCTAGTTGTGTCGTGGTCTGATCTTGTTGTCGACAGCCTCTGATAGATATCCGCTTCGTTTCAAGGTTTTCAGTTTCTCAGTGACACTCCAAAATAGACGTTCTGTCGGGTCTTTATTCGAGAGCTGCTAGTGATACAGTCCGTTTTCGAACAGGGAGGACATCTTGGTCGGATAGGTGTAGGGCGTCTAAGACTACAGTAGTACGTTCTTTGTCTGCTGGGAGAACCTTGATGGGCATTAAACTCTTGACGCGCAATTTTGTGTCTTCGGCCCGGCTCAGAGTTGAATAGTACTTGCTA